GCAATTGCTCATTGGTGGAGTTTTTCACAGGAAGGTTACTCTTTAAAATCTACAGGGCAATTCTTATTCCTCATAGAGTAATCTTCCTACGGTTAGAATACGCACTCATGCCCATGAATATTCAGGGTATGTAGGAGGAGATTACTGCACCTGACATTTACTTGGCAGACCTCAGAGATAGGCTCTCTCCATGGATCTTACAGGTCCAAGTAACAAGGACATATTCTCAAAATGCATGCATAGGCTAAAATTGGTCACTGTTTGCATAAAACATGCAATATGTTGGCAGATGCTGTAACTCTATATGCAAATAACAACGTAAGTATGAAACTTCGATTGCTTATGCGCGTTTCCACTTGAGCATATTGTATGTTTCTGAATACATCATTTCATTTTTTCCACATTATTTTAAAAACTAATCAGTGTTCTTATCATATTCCTTACATGTCCATGTAATTATTATTAGAACATCAAAGTGGCATTAGTTAATTTCACAGAGCAGCGAGAAGGGTGACCACTTCACTTGCATTTGTTTGTGCACATTTCCCAGAATTATTTAAATGTGTATGTTGGGATGTTTAGCCATTTCCCTTGGTTTTGATTGCCTTAATACAACTGAGATGCTAGAGAAGTTAACATGCTCCCTAGAAAGTCTCTCTTCGCTTTAGTTAATGATGTTAAACATCAACGACAGTTGTTACACAGTACAATGTTTTTTCCTTAGCAGGTGGGAAATGGCAGAGCCAGTGAGGAGAGGCCACCTGGGAGTGTGAAATAATGTAATGCAAATAAGTGGAACACCCCTCTTAAGCAAAATTAATCGATCTTATTGTCAAGAACAAAAGACATGGGCTACTGCTTCAGTCTTCTGAAGTTATTCATAGGTTGGGAAAGAAAGGCAGGGAGACTGAAGGAAACAACGATGAACACAAAGCAGATATTTAAAGCAGCGACACCAAATGAATGCACCATCATGCTGAGAAGTTGCGAGTAGCAGGAAAAAATGAAGATGTATTTGTTAGAACTGTACTGTTGATGAAACTTATTGCATCTGGCTCTATGAATCCTGAGATCACAATATCTGGACATCACAGATCGAGCTTCACTCAAAATTACTCCTTGACAGTAATCTACAGATGACCTACCAAGAGTTATGAATAGTATATAGCTCCTTAAACTGATGTGTAATCAATCTACAGCTTGACTTACAAACAGCACCACAGAAACACAGGTACATCACAAAATAAGCACCAATACTCACACAATGCATCCTCTTTGCTTTAACAGCACAATCAGAAATACTACTAGATCACTTAAATTCCTATTGCCTACAATTCAGAAACTAAACACAGCAAAGAAACTAATGTGCAAACATGACGCGGTAACTTGTGTTTTCCACTTTGAAAGAGGCTTCTCGATTTTCTGGTAACACAGTCTTTTGTCACAGCACCATGGCAGAATCTGCTCGGGAATACACTTTTTCAGTCTATTAGGGCCCGATTCGGAAGCAGGAGGAGAGAGCATCCAGCTGAGAACATCTAGCCAAGGTCACACGACTGACTTCTTGAAGCAGTAAGGAGAGAACGCAAAGGACCAGATTTTTTTATTGCACGGAAAAGTGCTGACAACCCTGCTCAGGTTGCTTTCCTGTCAATGGCTTAAAAGCAACAATTAAAGGTTGCAACAGCATATATAGTACAAAGGGAAAAAAGCAGACAGACGATTAAGAGGAAGGAAAAGATGAAAAAACCCTGCTCGTTTAATGGTTGGCATTTTCAGAAGAGCCCCGGGGTATAGTTACACCATGTTCAGTAGCTGTGACTACAGCACGTCTGGTAGCCACCTTAACCCAGCTAGGTCAGGTAAGAAAAGCCACAGAGCTCTAAGAATGAGCTCAAACTGCCATGTCTGATGAAACAGATGAATAATTATGTTCCAGGACTGTCCAAGACGTATCCCATGAGACTGGATGTTTATGTTGCTGTTACTGATCTTCAGCATCAGTAAACAAAGTTTGCCTGCTGCCCTTGCCAAGTCAGTGCCCAGCTCGCGCAACTTGCAGAGGATGTTTGGGACCTCGATCTTGAAAACTGGGTGGTTGCACGGGTTTTCTCATTGTGTCAAAGAGACACTGCAAGAAAACCACCAGGGAATTGACACTGAGCTCTTAATGCATACTTCCTGCCGTTTATGAAGAATTATATTAAAAGGTAAATGCAAGCATGATCATTAAGCGTATTGGACTGATTTTGTGTACACCTATCATGGTAAATATTAGCATATATAGGGTATATGCTACAACATCAGCATTCGTGACTTGGTTAGGATCTAAGTTACTGTACTGATTTATTGTGCTCTACATTTACCGAGGTTTTGGCAAAGATTTTCTTCTTCAAGCGTCTCCTGAGAAATAGCTAACTGGAAACAAGTAAATATTGTGGCCCAGGGATAATTAAACAGTAGGCACTGGGGACAACATCTGAAGGTCGTGATTACTATGCTGATAGGTGTAAGGCTTCAGTTTAGAGTTGTTAGGGGTTTTTTTTTTGCCTGTGCAGTTATCAAAACACTAGGCCATTTTGTTTTGTGTTTGCATCTCTAAATAAAGTGATTGGCAATAAATGTAGGATTGCAACAGCTTGAGTCCAAAGCATGGCAAAACTTTCTCCGTCTTAGAGTAGGACAGAAGGCAGTTACAGTAGCTATCTAAATGCTGTGGCACAAATGTTGTTACTTGAACGTTTTAAGCTGAGTGACATTACTCTGCAGTAACTCTTGAGGCTGAAAAGCTACTGAGCACAGGGGGAAAGTGGACAGGCCAAGTTTTACCGTCCTTAAACATTTGTTTAAAAGGCTGCGGTTACGAAATATATTCATGACACCTGCATTACACGAAGCAACCGGAGAAGGGTCCTAACGGACTTAAGATCTGCACTACTGACAACTGACTGCTCTGATTGAACAGGAGCATTTAAACAAGCTGGGCAGGGTATGCGCTCCTCTCCAATGACTTTCTGATTTATCCCCTTGCAAAATACATTCTCCTATGGGTACGCATCTCGCTGCTCAGAGTAACGAAGTAAATGGCATTAACGGCTTTCTTAAAAGACCCTTTATCCCACCAGTAATAGACATATGTGCCACAGTTGGCTGGCCAGAGTTAAACCATGACAACATGACAACTGTATGTTGAATTTTAACATTTCCATTCACCAAAAAATCCCTAAATTCTTGACAAACTGATGAAGAACTGGATCGATTTATTCACCAATGAAATATGGTTACTTCTATGATTAAGTAATTAATTAGAGCTGCACAGTGTGAGACAAAATAGCAGAAATCCTAATCTGCAGCTCATAATAATGCAAGCCATCTCATTAAAATAACAGTGGCAAAAGTGGAAATGGGATTACTCTATTAAAATACGGAAGGATTGCAAGACCTGGCTCCAACTTACAGCCTGATCGAGGCCCACTGAAATTAAATGGGAACTTTAATCCCTTAGGCATTAAAAATAAAGAAACTATAACCTCCTCCAGCTGAGAATGCAGGAAGAGAGACTGCACTGATTGGCAGTGCACGCAGGTCAGCTTTTTCACCCTAACTGCAATTTTTGACATACTGGTCTTCCCAATCTGTCTTTAAAGGTAATTGCATTATATTATTCTAA